CGGGCATATTTTAGAAGCAACATGAACAATTTATATGCTAGCTATGATTGCTGATTACATTGTATCTCCCAATTCATAGCACCCGGACTGCAGCTCACACCATCACATCACAGCACTAGTAAACTAGCACTCTGTCTTTGGCACTGGAACCATCGTCAGCGACAACTGTCCACGAAGCGATTACAATCATGAAACACCTACCTCCCATTATTTAGTATTTGTACATATTTGTTAACAAATTGAATGCAATAACTACTCACCTTTTAGTCGCAGTGATGTAAAATAGCAATCTATGTGGAAGATTCGGGACGGTTCAACAGCAACAGAACGGCCATTGATTTCCGGTAGACAAATTTAAAATTTTCCCATGATGCCATTTTCATACTCCTCAGGCTAGTACACGTGAGGCTAGTAGTCAATTATCGACGGGTTTTTTCGCACGTTTGAAGAAGTAGAACGGGGTTTCCGACGAAAAAGAGTTATTAATAATAAATAGAGTCTCGCAAAAATAAGGAAACGCCAACAGTATCTGTTGATAATATAAAGTTAAACAACTTTCTGCTAAAATATGAATGTAAGAGTCATAAACTAGTGAGTAATTAAGATATAAAAAATATACAGGGGAGACTTTTGAACGTAAGGGTCCTTTGAACTCCTAACAAACGTGGTATATATATGTAATTTATGTGTGAAGTTTGAAAGGTATGTCAGAGATACGGCTCTTGAACGGAGAACTTGAATTCGTTAAAACGATTCGATTATCGGTCGATAATCCGATAAAGGGCCAGATTTGGGCAAACAAAATTTGACTGAAGCGTGTCAATGCACGACTGAAACCCACTTCCGCAATTGCAAAAATGCTTTATTTTGTTGCATTTTAACATTAAAATGATCTAACGAGTGTATTTACATATATGTAATAGTCCAGACATGACTGAGATTTAGGTGTGAACATGCACACAGATGAAAATATACGGTACATTTGAAGGAGAACTAAATAGTGACTAAAAGGATTCCACATGTAAATTATTCACAATTGTTGGTCCAAACTTGGACTGTTCATTTAAACTCCTAAATCTGCTTACATCGCCAATCAAATAAACAGGTTTTTAATTAGTAAATTATAATGCGAAACACAGATAATCAGTAAAACCTCTATGTGAATTGCTGGACGACAATTGACAAGTATATACACATTTCTGTGGAGTACATAACAACATAAAAAATATGAACTATCTGCTAACCTTCAATTAGAAAGCTTTAAGGTAGCGAGAAAACAAAATTTCCTTTTTTTCTAAATTTTTCAAAAATTTATAAAACTGTTACTTTAGACCGTGATACATCATCCAAAGACGCTGCTCAAATGTGTGCTTTAAACGCTAACACAAATAACTACAACTGTAGTTTCGTGGATATTTGCGTAATGTTTATCTGTTGTTGACGATTCTAACATAACGGGTGATAAGCTTTCTGTCGCAAACAATGAGTGTTTATCTTACGCCCACTGTCAGGACTATTGTCAGTCAAGCCCTAGTCGGAAAAACATGGTCATAACTTTGAGCAACTTACTTTGTTTTATTTTTCCAAGCCAATATTCTATTTCACTTTGATTATAAAAGAATAACGAAGTAAATTGTGCAGATTGCAGAGTAACAGGAAGAAGCACAGTCTCATCGTCATTTTCCCACCAAATGCCTTCCATGCTCGCTGCAAGCATAGAGTGTATATTGGAATGATTTGGAGTTTATATGCACTTCTATAAAATTGCAAAATGCAATTAATTTCATTTTCAAGGAGTCAGCTGATCACATAGCTGAATTAAAACTGAATGTTAAATAGGTACCGGGTACTAAAGGAAACCTACAATTAGATATTCATTTATGAAGGACATCCATAACACAGCTTTTTATGATTTGGCTTCATTCATGAGAAATTGATGCCAGCACAGAAAATACACACAATAAACAAGCTCATTTTTTTTATTGCCACTTTTATTTGAACCAAAAGTTGTGTGTTTAATTACATACATATGTACAGCTGTATAATAAGTATTGCTTGTCCAAGAAACAAGCTCAGCAAATCGGCACCAAACTTTTACAAAAGAATACTATAAGATAACAGTCTGTTAAAGTCCATGATATAACAATAAAGAGCATTTTCATGAAAGTCAAGCATGTTATCAAAATGATTATATTCCCAAACCGACCAATTCTGGTTACAAAAGCTACATACATATTTAACTAGAAGTCTTAATATATACAACAGTGAATAAAGGTTCATTTCAAAAAGCATGCTTTTTATAGTAAATTATAAGGTGTACAAACCCTACATGAGTTAAGTATATGATTTATCACTGAATTGCATACTGATCAGGCATTAAGTCATCACCAATGTGAATGTACAGTGATACGTCCTAATCACAGTGTCAACAATGTGTTTTCACAGAATGTGTCATGTCAGGTTAATGACCTTCTGTTGACTATGGTAGCCATCAGGTCAGTTTGAGATTGCTCTGGATATAGTGATTAGAACAACTGACTCCACGGTGCGTACTAAAGTTTACCCACTTTTATTTCTAATTAACGTTAACATTACACAAGCAAATTTATATTATTCAATTTGAGAATAGTTACGTTTAGAAAAGTAGACTCATACAAAAGTACAAGGACCATATATGTAGTTGTTTTCTAGTGGAGCTAAATTATACAAGTTTCACACAAATATCTAAATATTATGGTTTACAAGAGAGTCCTGACATATTTACACATAGAATGTGAAAAAGTCTGCCGATACATATACTCAACAGTTCTTTGAAACAATATAGGTGATCAGTTATTCTAATCATACAACAACCAGGGCAATCTTGTCGACAAAATCTTAGTGAATTTCACTGTAATATTCAAATATAGATTCAAAACACTTCGAGATTTCCCAGAACATAGATTATAAAACACGAGCATCATAAATTATGATTGACTCACAAACATATGAACAAAATGTTTAATATTATTACGCTTGATTATTTTACTCCAGCAAAAATACATTGTACAAAACAAAGGAAAAAACGTATTATTCAGTTACGTTAAGCAACTTGAAAGATCCCCAGACATTGGCTACTCAACCTGAATTGGTAAATGTCTTGTTTACTGCTTTTTGATAATTTGAAAAGGAGTGCACAATCATAACTGTGCAAGTGTATGTTCTTCTGGTTAATTCTCTGTTTGGTTGCCGTTCAAATATCCTTTGTTTTTGTTGTATTTACCCTAACTTACTTTCTTCAGAACAGCATCTAAAAGAGCTGTGTATGTGTTCTCGTTGCATGGTACATGTGATCTCCACAAATGTACACGTATTTGCATACCAAATGTTGATTTGTTTATGAAGGTAAGTAAAGAGATAAGTGTATTAGAACTAATTATTTTCCAAATACGAAACACCATGCTGTAATGAACTGAATCAGACTGCTTTAAGTTTCTGAATCTATCACATCGATTTCTGACACCGTTTTTAACAAGGCCATTAAAACAGCTCACCAATGCAAATCTGACAATCAATAAAAAACAAAAAAACACAAGTCTTTCAAGAAAACATAAGGATGTAATAATTGTCAGGTTAAAGTTACCCAACGTGGGGTATCTAATTAAAGCTGCACGATACAATACAAAGTGTAAATGTCATATATAATAAAGGTTAAAAGTAAAACCTTCAATAACCCACATATACAAAGCATTTAAAATATTAGACAAGACTTCCATAAAAAACAGCTCGTCTAGTAAAACAGTATCAAATTTGCAAAAATAAAATAACTGTTTCAGGCATGCATTTTTGTTAAAGTTATTCCCCAGGATTGCCAACTGTTAACCCACATAACCACCACCATTGCTGGGCCAGCAATGCAATGATCCACAGCTATGTGTCATAGTATGTTTTCATATCTGAGAAAACAAAGATCAGTCTAGAACTAAATAAACCAGTTACAGATCAATAATAATTTACTTTAAAATTGCTATTAAATCAGCACTGTTGTCAGAACTGTGTATTCTATGGACTACGCAATATATGCAGTATAAAACATAAACACTGCGCACGACTAGGGATCATCGTTATAACAATATGTTATCATTACAAAAAAAACCTTAACTGCAACCAAAGCTCAACACATAATTTTGATAATTGTTTGAATTGACCTTGCATGTAAATATGTAACTGGTTTTCAACCGATCTTTATAAAGCTGCACACTATCAATATGTAAACATTAATTTTTGTTTGCCCCCCCCCCCCCCACTTAGACGTATACGCAGTTCCGACGACAGTGCCACTTCAATTGAAAATCAGATACAACGTTGGGTTTTGAGGATGTTTAAAGTAAAATAAAAGCATAGTATCAAACTAAAATACCATACATCACACCAGGAACGACTACAAAAATATTATTTTTTACAAATGCTATTATCTGTGTGTAATACAGCATAGCGCGTGTTTCATTGCCACAAGATGTTTTGTTCTACAATATACAATTATCAGAATTTGACAATAAAAAACAAGTTAGCAAGTGTAGAATTGTCTTCAAATCAAATATGGTATTGCAGAGAATATTTTGTTGAGAAGCACATCTCACAAAGTTCAATCATGAAAACATTAGATACAAGAACTATGGTAACAGGTTTTAATGTGAACTCCTGTGTAACAGCTGCAACTCAATCTTTGACAATACTCAGAAAAAAACACAAACATTTTGTACAAATTGGCTAAATTGCAGTTGAAACCAGGATCATGGTGGATAAATTAAATCTTGTCAATAAAACAGTTTTCAATCTCTGGCAAGTCTTTTCCCGATTTCGCACTCCCCCCTCATATATGGTATCATTAATTCCACCATAAAGATTACAATCACCTTTGAGATGTACTCTGATTAATTAGAATTCAAAAACATGGCATAATTGCATTCATTAAATGCAGCAATATTTATAATAATTATGTAACATCAGTCCACAGTATGATCCCCCATACAGGCAAAGTCATGATGTTAGTGTACTTTTACTTTACTCAGTAGTGGCAGCTTGCCTTTTCATGACTATCACATAATACAATTATAGTAGTCTCTTTGTAAACACATGAATTACATGTCAGAATGTGTATGCATTCGTTTCATGAACCAGCCAATTTTCTCGTTATCGTTTTTAAAAATTACATGCTACCCGTTGTTAGTTCAAGCAAGATCAACACACACACACACACACATACATACATACATACACGACGCTAACAGTTCTGCGTGAAGGGATACTGAGCCTTGGATGATATAATTTACCCAAATCTTAGGTTTAGTTAATATCCACAATGCATCACTATTCATCCCATGGGCTCATATCTGTATCTATGGCAACACAGTTGTAAGCAGCATACCTCAGTTTATCCTCAGCAACTCTGGCACTATGCAAGATAGAAGACATAATTAGAATATGACATATGTTAATATGCTAATGAGCTCATTAATATGCACATATCTGTACCAGAAGTATTCACATCTACAGCTGACAAAAGAATTCGTCAATGACCAAATATCTATAACTGGGGGGCCAGCATCCATGTTCATCACAAGAAACCAACTAAGAAACACACCTTACACAGAATAAATGACTGTTTAACACAACTACCGTTAAAATCCTATTATAAACCGCATACCTAATAGTAACCGCACCCCCGATTTCGGCTTCAGTGTTAAAGAGTTCTCAACAAAAATTGAAAACATGAAAAGTACCTATTACTAACCGCACCCCCAATTCAACAAGACCGTGACTGACTTTGTTTCAACCAGCTGGTACATTGTTCCTAATCCTATTCATTTGTTTCGATAACGTGAAAAAAAATATTCACACCTCTTTATTGTTCAGTAGTGTTAGGATGTCAAACACGCAGTTAAATGCTTTTTTTCTTGCGACAACTTTTGTCAATACATGGAAGGTACCATGGTCAATGCTCTTTATGAATATGTCAGTGTGTCGCAAGTTTTCGACAATGAGCTGTTATCACCGAAAAACTCATTTTCAATGCTCAGTTTATCTTTCGAAAACAACTAATTTCTTGATTTAAAAAAAAAGTCATGTTGTTTTCCCATGCAAATCCAAGCAAAAAGATCGCACTACATTATCGATAAATCCCTTCCGGGTTTCGTTCACCGTGAAGTCGGTGACCTGTCATTAACATATTTAAATGAACTAAGGTAATTTGAACACGTGGGCACCATCCAGCATTTTGATTGGTTAATTAGTGACTTGACCTATCCGGTCAAGTAACATCTCATGTGCATTCAAACTACATGGCGGATGTCGTATTGCGTCGATCGTTTACATGTGACCGAAATAATTCGCTTACGGTGAAACTAAGTTGAATTTGACTTGCATTTGATAACAATTCAACGAATTTATTTTTCGTGCGTTATTATAATCACTACTGAATAATAATCAACAATTTCAACACTTAAGTTATTCACTTGTGAGCCGAAGCATGGCCGGATTGTGTTACCGTACCCACAGTACCGTACTTTTTTAGTGCTTGTTTTTATTTGAAACTCCTGCCAGAATATACTTTCCGTTACGAAGAAAGTTAAAAAAATAAATGCATATTACATTAAATATATATTTAATATATTAAAAATATATTAAGTATTTTTTTTCATGTGAAAAGTTTTTTTGTGACGCTACGTGACGATTGTCACTCTTCCCCGATATCTAAATTGGAGTTAGCTTTTATTCAAAAGATTGTACAGTGTATTGTTTGTTTTGTGCAAGTGATGTGAGAAAAAAATGACCACGCCCATTTAGTGATTGCAATATGTACATAATAGAAACCGCATCCCGAATCGCGGTTACCGAGGTAGAACTTAGTGAGTGAAACATAGTAATATGCAGTAATATTGTACAGATGAGTCTTGTATGATTTACAATGGTTGTCCCTTACCTGGAATAATTGGGTAGATAGAGAGTGCTTGAACAGGTGGAAGATTCTGGTAATGCATCAACTGAATCAGACCTATAATTAGTAAAAACAAGTCAAGATATATGCCACGTACATGTACATTTACACTTATGAAGATTAATTTGAAGCATGTTCTCTTTCCCTAGTAACTTCAAGGCATTTCTTAAAACAGTGTTACTATTTTTACACTACATTGTAGTTGTGATGAACCTATTAATTTTTTGGACATGATGTAGGTAGATTGGCTCAATGAAAATATGTTGTGCCTTTTCAGAGTCTTAAATGGGATTCAACACCAAATGGGTTTGGTGTGTTATGATAAATTGCCAATTTGACCAAAATGAACACAAAGTTAAAAAACAATGTACCATACTGCTGACATTTCGTCTATCCATGAAGGCTTTCACCAGACAGTATATTAAGGGAAGAGTAGGAAATCAAACGAACGGTGCACCGCAGTGGTGGTGGGTGCTCGCCGGTCGACCGCATTTTATGCAAATTTATGCATAGATTCCATGACGCCGGCTGACCGCGGTCTTCCGCGGTGGGCTCGCACAGCAATTCACACTTATTGTCAAGACCATTAATGAACACAAAGAACTGGGAAATTGAAAAGATCACAAAGTTCTAATGAAAAATTAAACCAATTTGGCTGAGCCAAAAGCTAGGAAACTAGTCTATAATAGTTGACATTATTTTATTTGCCTGAGCCTTGGATCACAAAATCACAAAACGAACCAGAAAGGCGTAGAAATCAACAATATATATAATATGATCGCATTATTTTGTGAATATATATCATGCATGGTCTCAGAAAATGTTTAGAAAGATTAATGTTTCGCGTAGACCAAATATAATCACGCATAAGTATAAATTCAAAGTGTTTTAATACATTGGTGAGAGGTCGCATTTACGTGAACAAGAACATGCACTAAGAAGGAAAAGCAAGCCAAAGTCGAAACGGGGTGTATCATGGACTTGGTACAACATGCGCTGCGACAATTGAGTAATCGTCGACATCATTTTGGGACACATCAAATGATGCTGACATCAAGTGTGTGTTGACCGAAGTTTGACCCCAAGTCACGCACTGAACTGGCACGTTACCTTAGCAACCCTTTTCTTTCTTGATCCGCGCTTCGATCTCGTAAATTTGTTATTATATCCGGCGGTACTGTAATAACACAACTTGTATCCAACTCTGTATTGGCTTTGAATATTTCAACATCGTTTACTTAGTGTGCTGCTTTTCTAATAATGCAAATATGTTTACAGTATTGCACGGGCTCTAAGTATTTCAACTTTGCAATGTATTGCTTTTATAATAATTACGCAAACTAAGTTATTATTATTTATTCGCGTACATTTTGACTGAACTCTAATAACCACGTGTTTGAATTACGTGCGGCAGTGGGCAATGACCTCAATGAGTTCACACACTGACATTTAAATTCGGGCCACCCAGTTTGACGTAAAACGATATAGTTACTTAACATTTGTTAAAAAAATCGGTAAACTCTCGCAAAGAGTTAACTGAAAAGCAACGTCGTTTTTGACCAAAAAAAAAAAAACCATGTCAATACAAGATTATGTGTGCGAGGTTAGATTTATAGAACGTACATGACCGCTTAACTCTGTTTTTTTTTAATAATCATGTCGCACGTGAAACACAGGAGACATTTTAGTTCGTCCATTTCTTGTTTACCGATCTTGAACTTTTTGTCTGGAATGCGATACAGGCAAAGAATAAACATTAATGATACCCACCGTTGTCAAATCAACAAGAGGCTCGAATCAGGAAGGCTCGGCTATTTAAAACTTCGTAAATAACATTCTTTTCATGTGGTAGACTTTATTCAAGTGTAACAAACTTAAGTGAAATGTATGGAGGAGTCGTAGTACTCGTACCTTCGAAAGTTACGACTTTTACTCTTGGAATTTGTGATAAATACATGCATAAAATACAACATTGTTTCACGCAACAACAATTCGTATACAGCATTGGACTTATGGATTTTTATATTAATAAAATACGTGGGTCGATAATATTACCATATGCTTAGTATTTCCATGCCAGCGATGCTCGTAACCTGCTCGATTAAAAACAGCTATTTGAAACAAAGACTCATGAAATCACAAAGGAAACTGTTAAGTACGTATTTCACACCTTTTCTACGATCATGGTTGCAACCGATACCGATGGCCACCGCGGTAGAGACCCCTAATTATAAGCAGTCAGCGGCTCTCCCCGGTGATTACCGCGGTGAACCACCCGTTTGATTTCCTACTCTCCCCTAACTAACATATTCCTTGTAATTCCATATTATTCCAGGGAAGTGTTCAGAAACAATTACCACAGTGTGGCATGTGTCAAAGTTTAAGTTTGGACTGAAGCAAAGTAATTTAAAGTGGGAGGGTCGTCACCTGCGCATGTGTGATAATTGAGTCCCAAGCGACGATAACAACGCACACTAAAAACACAAAGGCTCATGGGTAGACTCTATGGCCGTCTGCCACATGCGCAGGTGATGACTCCCTCGTTTTAGGAAATCAAAATACATTTGTATATAAAACAACACTTGCCTTTTATCAGGACATATATACAATGGAGCTGGTAGTCTCCTCCTTCCAGTAACAAACCGAAGAAAGCGACTCCTATCCTCTGTACAAGCAGTAAGAGATGGTGATCAGTTCTATGATGACTACATCAAATTTACACTAAAGTACACTGGATTTAAATATTTCAATTCCCACTTGTAAAGTGAGTACAATGTAAGCCCATTTTGAGTGTAAAAATGGCACAAATTGACTATATTATAACATGGAGATAAAAAGAGAAGGAGTCACAGCCAAAATAATCCTTCTAAACTTCTTTTGTTTTAACCAAGTTTAATCCCATAATTCCCTTTGTCTTATCGTCCTTTCACCCCAGGATCGTCGCCAACGCGTCATTTACTCTCGAGCGTTGCTGCGCACAGTACACATTCCAAGGTCTTGTTTTATGGTGTCGCAGTAAATGTCAAAGGACATGAAGCATGCGCAGATCTTTTATACGTAGAGAAATCGTGTTTGTGAGAACGGGAAAGTTGGAATTTTGAAAATCAGAGAATTTCTTGTTAAGTTTATGTAATTTTTCGTTTTTCAGCACATTTTCCGTTGTAGTTTTGAATCAGCAATATTGTAATGTTCCGAAACCTTGCTAGTACTGTTTTTAGTCCACAATAAAGCTCATTTAATGATCTTTGCAATGGTGCATGGCATGGGCCGCACCGCGTTGTACCAGAGACTGAATTTTGAGGTTCGAAATGACACTCGTGCGCGTTATCGATCGTCGCCATATTTGTTTATAAGAATTTGACAGAATTGTCACGAAAATCACAGAGTGCCGCCGAAGGCGTCCGTAGTATGCTAATTCACGGTAATCCTCACTGCGCTTAGAGGAAACTGTCCTCCTTGATCCATTCGGCAAATAAACTCCCTGATCTATGTACAAACAGTGGCGACCATCCTGGTACCTTTGATCTAAGCTTGGCTGTGACTCCTTCTCTTTTTACCTCCATGATTATAATGAATCAAAATATAATACAGCTTGATCCATGGCAATTTTAAAAGTACAGTTGGTCAGTGCAAATATGTCATCTACTGTACAAATTTTCATCCCATATTTTAATAATGTCTGTCTGTAACGCTTACCATTGGTGAAATTTGTCATAGCTTCCCAAAGAAATCTCACTCTGGTGTCAGTTTGTTCAAGATCTTCGTAATAAGCTGAGGGATAGAGAAAACAATGAGTAAAAGTCTGTATGTTGAAATTATAGTTTCTGTTTCTCATATTTTTTTGGCATGGTTTGGGGAGAGACTATAAATGTAATTTACTCACAACAAACGTACATTTTTGAAATTCAGTGATTGAAATGAGAGACTTATTCACTGTAGGTTACACTCAACTTGTTGCCATTGGCAATTATAACTTTATATTGTTATACAAGTTTATATTGTTACATTAAAATAATATCACAGAAGCATGTTTTCTTTGAATTCTTTTTTAACGTAATTTTAATCTTCAACCATTATTTCATGGAGAAATAGCATTTATTTGCACCTGCAGACAAAAAGCTTCTAAGGTACTCAAACACATCGGCTGCTGATGCTGTTTTCTCCCATTTATTTTGGCTATTCATGGAAGCTTTTAACAGGCTATGTGTTAATATTAGTAATTCTTACTTGTTTTCTTGAGGGCTTCCACTGTGATTTCAGGATCTCCACATATCCTCTTTTCTAACTCCTGCCACGTCAATAAATCTAACGCAGCTTGCGGTATAACCTTTAACAAGCCTCTTCTAATCCCGTCAATCTGATGAAACAAACAGCAACACAGGCCATACGTGAATATTCATAAAATAAAGAATGATGTGGTGATATAGCACCCTCACAATGCCATTTTGAATGGGAATTTGAATGTTTTACAATCAGAATCTGTTCTTCACTGTAATTTCCTTTAGCATTGCATTCAGTGTCAACCCTCTTCTCACAGATTTAGGCAGTGCACTCCATGCAAGTTGTTAAACCATTGCTTACATTTTTCAAAAGACTATGTTTTAAGAATAGGCAAACAATAGGAAGTCAGTATTTTTCCATGAACTATGCATATACATTTATATTTAAACACACTTTTTCAATTATGACTCAATTAAATAGTTGCCCTAATTGGTCAATTTTCACATGAGTTAGAATTTTATGAACTAAAAAAAAATTTGGACACAAATATCAGAAATGTAACTTGTTATGCTTTTTTCGACCCAAAAAACTATCTGGTAACTATTAAGACTAAAGTTTCCATCCATTATGTTACCATCAGCAGATTGATATGCCCATGATGTTTTAACAGACTAACCTGTTCTTTACATTCTTTCATTCTTAGTTCCTGCACCTTTCTACAATAGTCTAACCTGTCTTCATATTGCACATTTACATTGCTACCATTATCTATTAATGATACACCACTGTGATCACTAAGTACTGTAGTATATGTTAGTTCTCCAGCAAAGCTGTTGTCAAATGTCTCTTTCTCCATAGTTTCTATAGTTTCAATTAATTTCACCTGTAGATGGAGAGAATGTACACATAATCTGTTATCATATACAGTTGTACCTTGTTTTGCCCGGCACATCAACAATTTTCACTTGCACACTTGACTGTTTGTCGCAAAGTAAAAAAAAATGTGTAATTAAGAAAAAAAATAACAAAATAGTAAAATAGTGGAATGATCACTTATATCCATTTTTTTTAATTTGAAAAAAACAAACAATAAAACAGATGCTAAATTACTTTTGTAAGAAGATGGAATACTACTCTAATAATCCTTTAAGTTATTTTTATTTGATGAAAACTGAAAATAGTTTTGGACATCAATATTTTCCATTCTCGGAATGTGAATAACTGAATAATGAAATATAAAATTACCTCTGATGCGTCCACAGTAATGAAATCCCTTGCCCATGTTACTCTCTCACCTGCCAACTGCTTCCAAACAAAAGAAGGCAATGCCAGCACCTGATGACAATCATTATAAAGCACATACATTAGATTCAGAACAACAACTGTGTTTTGTTAAAAATACATTACAAAGTCTGGTTTTGTTTTAGTGTTTAAAACATTCAATTTTTGTTATGTCTATGTGTGGATAAACTATTAGTATTGGCAATGTCAAGTTTGTTTGCAACATAATATGTAAAACTAAGAAACAAATTAACAACTAAATGGAATCTTTTTATTGCCCTCCAAACTGGCCAAATGTTTGGTTATAGAAATGATTTCTTATTGTTTTGGAAATAATTTTTTTAATGTACATTATATCAAGACAAAACCTGTATAAAGAACAGATATGTTTTGAAATTGTTTTTCAAAATATACAATCTTTATTTATCAGAGTAAAACTCACAAAAGTACAAGGTAATAGAGATTAATGTTACCCATGTTTAGTGAACCTCCTTAAATTAGTAATTACCTCCTTAATTAGAACAATACAGGTGTAATGTCTATGTAAATTTGGTACCGAGTCCAGTTTTAATTATATTTATATAATTACATTTTGTGAATAGCTCAGATGAAAATCTTTGCAAGTTCACTGAGCACATATGTGGGCCAGGTGGAACACTGTATATGGTCATGTATACACATATGTGGGCCAGGTGGAACACTGTATATGGTTATGTATACACATATGTGGGCCAGGTGGAACACTATATGGTCATGTATACACATATGTGGGCCAGGTGGAACACTGTATATGGTTATGTATACACATATGTGGGCCAGGTGGAACACTGTATATGGTCATGTATACACATATGTGGGCCAGGTGGAACACTGTATATGGTTATGTATACACATATGTGGGCCAGGTGGAACACTGTATATGGTCATGTATACACATATGTGGGCCAGGTGGAACACTGTATATGGTCATGTATACACATATGTGGGCCAGGTGGAACACTGTATATGGTCATGTATACACATATGTGGGCCAGGTGGAACACTGTATATGGTCATGTATACACATATGTGGGCCAGGTGGAACACTGTATATGGTTATGTATACACATATGTGGGCCAGGTGGAACACTGTATATGGTCATGTATACACATATGTGGGCCAGGTGGAACACTGTATATGGTCATGTATACACATATGTGGGCCAGGTGGAACACTGTATATGGTTATGTATACACATATGTGGGCCAGGTGGAACACTGTATATGGTCATGTATACACATATGTGGGCCAGGTGGAACACTGTATATGGTCATGTATACACATAGTAAATTGTAAAATGGAGCAATCTCGTAAAATATTTAGTAGAATGGCTTTCTCTTTAAATCTGTTCACGAATTGTCATAGTTTTAAAGCCTGTACTAATCAGATTAAGTTTTGGTGAAACATTCATACATACCAAATGTTCTTTACTACGAAGGCATCCGCCCATCAACTGTCCAATCCATTCGTATTTAACAAACTGTTTGCAGGCAGGATTTGGTATATATACATCTCTGTTAATGTTTGAATTATCTTGTGACTGAAAATAACAGTTAGTTTTTATTTCATATATCACCCTAGTAGAATTAAAAAGCCATAACAGTATGGTATAAATATAGCAAATAGTATAGACAAATAATTGTAAACTCCTCGTAGCTGCTGACATAGAACATAAAGCAAACATAGATTACACTGCATGGTAAATATCCATGTTAGATGAAAAGTACTTGAATCAACGCTCGCATACAACACCTAGTTAAAACATCACGGCACATCTTCCCCTCAGCCACTAGACATCCCATGAAATGGATGTTTAATACATGTAGAAAGCATAGAACCTTTTTGCATCCCTGTATTACCTGATTGGGTGATCTAATGAAGAATGGCAAAGGTATTGGTATATCAGCAACAGTTGGACACAACTCATCTGACATGTCTGACAAACTATCCCGAAACCCGCCACCTAGAAAAAACAAAATCTGTTAGAATCTTGGGTAGATCAATACGTTCTTCTATATAAATAAATAACAGGCTTAATGAGCATTATAATCTAATCAAGTACATGTAGCAGCAAATATCAAGTACATTAGTATTAATGTTACTGGTGAAATAAAATTTCAATTTCAATTCAATTTCAATATTTGCACTACAATTGACCATGCTGGAGATATTTTTTAAAATGTGTCTGATAAACCAATAGGGTATCAGCTACATTTTAATGTCATAAACATTGATTTGAATAACTGGTTACCTTTGTTCCAAAATGTTATCGATTACTGGCAGACTTTTGTCTATAGTTAACCCCAAACCCGAATCTTACAACATGCAGAATAATCTCAATGACAAAAAACTGTTTTTACTGTTAAAGTAAAAGTTGGGAAATAATCAGCCAAGATTAAAATGATAACAGCATTCAGTGCTTCCAATATGGTACTGGTTCTATTAGAAGCATATATCAACCAAAAAATGCATTTAATGTATGGTAGATCATTGAACTAAATTATTTTAATCAGATACTAGTATGCAAATCTGTAATATACATATGCACATGTGCTAAAAATAAGGTAATTGTAGTTGTGTGTACATTGTTATGAGAAAAAAAATGACACATTACTCATGCAGATACAGCAATGAGAGGGTACACTCTTGTACAAGGCTGACAAAACACAGTGCAACTCAACAGACAAGGTACCTAGGGATTTTCATACTTGCCTTGATCTATAATTCCTTCTGATAAAAATTTACATTCCCACCACTGGTCATAACGCTGTGGCCACCTAAAATCTAGAGCTTTTTCATATCTATCACTCGGCTTTAATCCTTCGTAAATCTACAATCAAACAGAAGATAAGAAATGAGATGATGCCAACAATGTAATACTATCTAGATTATAATCTGCCACACAAGTAAGGGAATTTGTATATCAAACTCTTGTATTGTTTCAGCATATCCCAACCCTCCATTCACTAACTCCTTTCATATTTGTATTTTAAGAGAGAATGTATGCTATTCGTGTAGTTTTGACACGTAAACATATCTTATGTCAAAATTTGTCTTTAATAAATCATTTTCAGTATTAGTCAACAGTATGTGTAGTTTGTTTGGTTATTGGCAATCTGTTTTTTGGAGAAAAAAAAAAGTCAAATAATATGCATAGCAGCATTTTTCCTGGAACACCATGAAAATATATTTTGTCATTTAATAAAGTATGCTAATAAATAGCATACTTTTTTATAAAATATTTTCTGTGCCTAGCGTGATACAATGAATGTTATCGGCGTCTGTCTATGCAGACTTTGTGTAAAGTGAACGGGCTACAGCTGCACAAGAACTGCAGAGCTATGAGCTCATCTTCACATCATAATGGAATTAAATGAAATGAAACTCCATCACTTAGCAACAAACTTTTCACAGACAGTATTTTAGAGTAATCATGGATACTTATCAATGATATCACCATACCTA